TAGAGAACTTTCCATGCATTATCTTTGGAACTAGCAGAATTGTTGGGAAATGGAAATATGAGATATTTTATTGTTCTTTCCATTAGAAGTGAAAGAAACGAAAGAAATTGGAAAGGGGAAAGAAGTGTGGTTATTACAACTTTGTAATGCTTCTTTCTGAGTTCATATTGTTGTTTATTTTTAAAATGACGATGGTGGTGTCCAGGTCATCTTATGTGCACCTTGACTATTCCACCAGGTACTTGCTACCTCAACCCACCAACAGTTAGGCATATGGGAAAAAATCACCTAGGATTTTTCGACTCCTGAGATTTGAACTAACCTCATGGTTTTACTCCCACCTCATCGACCAATGGGCCTACCTTGGGGTGTTGAGTTTACATTGTTTTGTTTTGTTTTTGACCTTTAAGAATACGTTATGGAATATGGTACAATTTTGAGAAGTTAATGATCTATATGAATTAGTAGACTTTTTAAGGAGATAAAAATTGAAAATGATTTTTGTTTTCCTTTTGTCTGTATGAGAGGTCTAGATGAGGAGGTTTTAGATACATATTATCATGATTAGGTTGTGGTTTGATTCTTGCGTCCTTTGACATTCTCATTTCTTGAGCAGCTTCAAAAATCTTAAAGTAAATTTAGCTTGAGGTTCATTGGTGAATTTGTTTTGTGGTTCTACACTTCTATCTTTCTGGTTGAAAAGGTAGAAAAGGGAAATCATGTATAAGTTGTTCTGATGGGCAGTTTTATCACAACTATAGTTACTACAGTTTTTAACTTGTATGACTGTTGTCAGTCCGATTGTTATAACCTGGTCAGCAATTTGCAGTTTCAGCAGTTCAGAAGTTAAAGAATTGGTTTTGTGGGATATAACTCTTATTTAGCCGAAACCCTTTAGTGATGTGTTTATGTCATAATGTCTTAACCAATATTTTTTGACCTCCAAAAATTGATAGGTAATTTGGCTTGTTAGATAGAACAAAGCAAGGTTTTTGAGCTTACAAAGCAGGTTTCAGTATCCCAAAAGCTACTGGGATTTGGGCTATTAGAGGTCCAAGTTTTGTTGACTTCTCCTTTCCTGCTTTCGTATAAATGTTTAGCTAACGGGCCAATATATAGTTTGCAAGATTCTTTTTCAAATAAATAAATAATACACACACACACACACAGCATGGCTGATATGCAATAGCTAGTTTGTTCATTTTCAGGGTTTCGGAAACACAGACACACCAGATTGCTGCTTTGAAGGAAAGGCAGATGGAAACCTTAAAAGCTGCTCTCAAGATAGGGGCTGAACACGAGACCCAGAAGAAGCGGCATGAGGCTTTAGATTTAGATTCTGAAGAGAATGAAGATGGTGATAATAATGAGCTTGTTGATAGGAAGTGGCAGGGGAAGGACTTGAGAAAAGAGAAGACGAGGGTAAGCGTCATAAGAAAACAGAGAAGAAGAAAAAACGTGCGGATTCTTCTGACACTGACAGCGGTGACAGCCATGCCAAAAAGCCTAAGAAGAAGAACCCCATGAAAAAGCCCACTATTCTAGTTCTGATTCTGATACTGCTGTTGATAATAAGTCAAAAAAGTTGTCTGCCAGGGAAAAAAAGGGTAGAAGGCGGCATCACAGTGATTCACTCTCTGATTCTTCCTCAGATACTGATTCTTATCCAGAGTCTGATCAGGAGAAGAAACATGCAAAATCCCGTAGGAGACATTCTGAGGGTGAGTATAATGATGGCCGTGATGCAAAAGCCAGTAAGTTTCAACAAGGTAGAAGACACGATTCTGATGAGGATGACTACAAAAATGATCGTGATGTCGATAACAAGATGATTCAGAAAGAGAGAAGGCAGGTTACTGAGAGTAAGTATGATGATGGTCGTGATGCTAAAAACAAGAAGTCACAAAGAGGTAGAAGACAAGATTCTGATGATGACGATGATGGTAGTGATCGTGATGTAAAAAGAAAGAAGATTCAGGAAGGGAGGAGACATGTTACTGCAGGTGAGTATGATGGTGGTCGTGATTCTACAAACAAGAAGTCTCAAAGAGGTAGAAGATACGATTCTGGTGATGATGATAGTAATGATCGTGATGTAAAAAGCAAGAAGATTCAGGAAGGAAGAGACATGTTACTGAGGGTGAGCATGATGATGGTCGTGATGCTAAAAACAAGAAGTCTCAAAGAGGTAGAAGACATGATTCTGATGATGATGATGATAGTAATGATCATGATGTAAAAAGCAAGAAGATTCAGAAAGGGAGAAGGTACGAGTCTGATGACAGCGAGTATGATGAAGGCTATGTTGCAAAGAAAAATAAGACTCAAAAAAGTAAACGATGCAATTCTGACAAGGACGAAGGTGAAATCAGCAGTAGTGACTATTCTCGCATCACCAGTGGTTCAGATAGCGAGAGGAGTTATCGTGGACATAAGAGTGTAGATAGGACCAAGTCTGAGAAGTTCAATAGAAGTGGTCGTGGAGATGATTCTGGTGGTAGGTGGGAGAGTTCGGTTATGAAAGATAGGGAATTTCAGGAGGATGATTTGAAAAAGAGGGAAGGTGCACAAGCTTCTGAAAAAGGATTGGACACGTTCAAGAAATTGGAGAAGTTATATCAATCGAGGGAAGATGTGATTGCTGGATCAAGTGCTAGTCAAGAGTTGAGGGGTAAGAGAAAACTAGATAACGAAAACTTGGATGAACCCGACGGGAAGTCAAGGAAGATAGATTCTAGAAAAGACGAAGAGCATGGAAGGCCTAATAGTGAAACTGAGAATCAAAGTAGGTCATACAGGAGTATTAAGGGCAGAAGTAAAGATCAACAAGCAAGAACTGGGGGAGAATATGAAGGTGATGGTGGAGAACGTGACACTAAAATTCAGAGTCGGAACGAACTGCACCGTGAAAGTCTACGCGAGAATCGAGATTATGAAGTGCCTGGACGGGAGAGAAGAGAAAGTAGGGATGATGATCGCTGGGAAATGAAGCAAAGAAGAGATGAAGAGGAAGATCAGTACAGGAAGCATGAGAAAGAACGGGATTCTCAGCGTGGAAGGCATGAACAAGAAGAGGAGGAACATAGAAGCAGAACACGTGATAGTTATAGAGGTCATGATTCTCTCAAGAGGGCTAGACATGATGATTTACATTCTGGTGGAAAGAGAAGATATGCTGATGACAAGTATGCAGACAAGTGGACTAGGCGGTGAAAGCTGCTTTAGATTGTGTCATGCTAGGATATCAAGAGGTGGGTTCAAACTGAGATACACTTGCCTTTTTCTTTACTATTATATGCCAATCACAGGGAGATATCCCTTTTTAAAAATGAATTTAATAGAGAAACTGTTAGAGTATGGTTTCTTTTATGATTAAGGTACTGCTTAATTTCCTTTCAAGTCTTTCTATTGACAAATATATACCCCATTAAACTTTGTACTATTTGGATATGGATAATATAATGTTGGAAGTGAAGACACAAGTGTTGATAAAAAAGGTGGAGATGATAACAGTAGAACTTTACAGATTTAATTCCACAAACGGGTTCAGTATAATGGGATAAATCGCTTTCTGTTTACATCTGGGCTCTGGGTTTATTATATCTTATGGTTTACATCCCTCTTTGGTTTTTCCTCCAATAAATTTTAATTTAGGTGTACATGCTTTTCATGGAAAGTGGAGCTTTGACCGCACTAAGCTGCCATTGGCATTTGACTGTACAATTCTTCTGTTTCAAAATTACAATGTGAACCCAGGAAAGAAAGCTGCATAAAATGTGCATGATTGATTGAGAAGGAAGGTTCCTCTTAATTTGATGAGTGTTTTGCTGCTATTTAGTGGTGTTCCTTATCGAGAGTTAGCTCTCTATAGGGGAATTTAACTGCTGGTCAAGGGAAAATTCACAAGGCATTGCGATGTAGAGAACCTGGTTTTAAAGCTGGCATGTATACATAAGTTTGATCAATGGACTCCTTTGTTGTTATTTAACATAAAAAAGGGTAAAGAGGCTCTTGTTCTTTTGGGCCCAAATTCCCTACATTGACATAACAGTTGCTCGATGCCCCTCTCATACTGCTGTACACCGTTGGACTCCAATTCTCTTGTTTGACATAATACATATGGAAATTAAAAATTTGTCGTTACCGCTTTGAAACATGCTCTTTCCAAACGCTATGCTTCAGAGAAAAGTTGTAAAAGTGTGCCGTGGTGATACCCTTTAGAAGAATTACATAATGTGATTAGCTAACATTCTCACAATCTGTATTTTTGTCAGTTTTCTTTAGAAGAATTACATAATGTGATTAGCTAACATTCTCACAATCTGTATTTTTGTCAGTTTCAGCAGTCAGTGGAGGAAAGATTGCGGATGCCAAGCATAAAGAGGAAAAGCTTGGTTAGCTGTTTGGTATCAGAGCTTTCTGCTATATGTGGGGGGTTGGTCCTCGAAACACTTTTCAGTGTACCTAAACAGGATTGATGAATCGCTATCTTTATTATTGACCGTCAAAATTGGTGTGCAAGAGTTAGCTGTAATAAGTAATGATTCTTCTTCTGTTACCATTCTTTCAAATCTTTTGAGATTTCCTATTTGGGAGTGTGCTACAGTGGCTTACTTGTGAAGTAAGGTTCGTAGGCTCATGTATAATATGTTGCATCTTCTGGTGAATTTTGAACGTGCCTTCCCAAACATGTCGCTTCGAATGCCGTGTTGACACCTTAAAGCTCCGGCTTTTTCCGGGCTGAAAATAGCCAATATATTCTGCTAAAGACGTCGAGGTATGGAAGATGTGGATACAAGCAGGTTTAGCAGTAGCTCTTCCATTTTTCCCGACTGAGTAATAGGGACAGACGAGACGAAAACGGGATAAACAGGACGGGATAAACAGGACGAAATGGGCATCCCATCCCATCCCATGTACCGTTTAACATTGGTCCATCCCGTTTATATTTAAGTGGACCGGGACGGGATGACCCGTCCCGTTGGACAATCTTAGTCCAGCATAATATACTGGAAATTAGTGCACCTCTGTATGAACTTCCAGCATAATTGCTGGAATTCCAACACGCGGAAAGTTCCATCATAATATACTGGAGATTGGAGCACCTGTTTATGAACTTCCAGCATATTATGCTGGATCGGTATAGTATATTAGAACTCCAATATAATATGCTGGAGTTCCAGTATATTATGCTGGAATATTTTTCGTATTTTGAACAGTATTTTCGTTCAGATTTATCTTTACATGAAAAGTGACTAAATTTCGATTAATTTTGAAACTGTGTCTATTTTTCAATTACCACTTGTAACTTGTAAATCTTGATATTTTTGAATTTCTCCCGAAAAAAAGAGAGATATTTTGCATGACAGAAAAACTATATTGCCAACATAAAGTCAGCAGAAGCCTTTGAAAAACAGCCTTAGTTCGAGGACCTTTAGACTTTAGTACTCTAATCTACGCTGAATCAGCAACCTTAGTGTCGAACATGTGTTACCTTTGTTCCTTGATCCTAGGGGTGACAACTAATCCAAACTCATTTGATCCGTTTAACCCGTCTAAGTTTTAATGGTTTTGGGCTAGAATGCTTTTGAAATAGAATATTTTGGGCTAGCTCAAGTTAACCCATAAAAAAACATTTTTTTTGCATAATTACTAGTGAAATAAAAATATATTTCACAATCTACAACTATTAATCAAATAACATATTCTATAACATAACTATAGTAAATGTATAAAAGTTAACCCTCACGGTAGATTTCCTATTAATTAGGAAACTGATTCTAAAAGTATGAAATTAAAAAAAAAACCTAAAAATAAGGGAGTATCCTTATTTAGGGTGACATAAAGAAAATCAATATCAAACTCAATCAATTATTTCCAAAACAATCTCCTTCTCCTTTGGTGCCTTTTCAAGNATATATATATATATAAAATTTATATTAGCACCAATATATAACATTTATTCATTATATTTGTATACCAAATATATATAAGTTGATAGAAGTAATATCATTCAATGAAAGACAATTCAATATTCTAGAATAAAGGAGATGGAGAGTTGAAGAACAAATTTATATTCATTCTCCCACCAGTGAACTTAAACGAAGCCTAAGGAAGTTAAGTCCTAAATTTTTTTATTCCATGGCTGGGAAAGATCATGAAAATAGTTGAAATCATCACCATTTGAAGTAATTGAAAAATCAAATTTAAATCTACAAGTTTGGACTGGGGTTGATAGTGCTCACAAGAATAAAGCCCCCATCGGCAAGCTCTAAAAAAAACCATGAAATCCCAACTGAAGGGATTGTTGGCAGCAGCACCACATCGGTATTAATTGGATTCAAGTATGAAGTAGATATTGAATGAGATAGAAAATTTGATAATTTGAAGTAAAAGCAATCCTTAATTTTATGTTAAGTGGAGGTACTTTTAGGAGAATCTTAGATAATTATGCATTTAAGATTCTCATAATTGTAATCATAATCCCTATTTTCACGTTTTAAAATGAGATATCTAAGGAATTGAAAAGTGGTATATAATCTAATTAAGTTAAAAAATGTATTAAATTGTATATACTGTAATTATTTTAAGATAGTTGTAACTCTTATAAATAACTCTTCAAAATATTGTATTCCGGGTAAATTTCTCTAAAATATCATCGGCCCAAATGGACCCATGATGATGCCCAACCTTGGCCCATGGAAATGTTCAATTTTAGAGTTCTGTGAAAAATTGTCATGACCCAAACTAACCCTGTCATGATGGCGCCTATCGTGGAACAAGGAAAGCAGACTCATTTCTAAAACAAACTGATATTTTCATTTCAAAGATAATTTTAAGGCTATTTAATATAAAAACCTTCGTAAATGAGTTCAAATCAAAACATAAGTGCGGAAAAGAAAAGCCCGACATCAGGGTGTCACTAGTCATGAGCATCTACTACAATCTGTCTGACAATATCGAGACTAACATATTCTGGAAAATAGCTAAATACAACTAAAGGAAGATAAGAGGGAGAAGAGCAGGGCTGCAATCGCCAGGCAGCTAACTTGCTATCCCCGAGAAAATCTACAACTGGAATAGTCAACAGCCGCTACCGTGTCCAAATATGCCTGGATTTGCACACAAGGTGCAGGGAGTAACGTGAGTACGCCAACTAAGTAACAACAGTAAATAAAGACTGAGAAGTAGTGACGAGCAATAATGCAAGTAAAGTTCATATCACAAAAATTCAGTAAAATACATCATGCTTTTAAAACCAGAGTTTGAATCATATCAGCTTTTTTTAAATCCAGTTCCGGTAAAATCATTTAAAGACATCTTTCAACAGTTTTCAAATAAAGGCTCCATGCAAAGGTGAGGAAAAAAAAATCATAATCAGCCCCTCGGGCAACCTCACTCATACACAGTCCCTCGGGCAAATCTCACAATCACTCATATACAACCCCTCGGGCATACCTCACTAATACTCATGCCTCCCAGTCACTCAGCACTCGGCACTCGCACTCAGTAGGTACCTGCGCTCACTAGGGGTATGTACAGACTCCGGAGGGGCTCCTTCAGCCTAAGCGTTATATCAAGCCAATCATGGCATAAATCAATGAGTCCCTCGGCCTATATCAAACATGCTGCGGCGTGCAACCCGATCCCATAAATATCCTCAAAAATCAGGACCTCGGCCTCACTCAGTCATAAACCTCTCCAGCCTCTCAGGCTCTCAGAAAATAAAGTATTCAGCCCAAACAACATTTATATGATGCATCAAAATAGAGTAATAGAGATTGAGTTATGCTGTAAATATATATAAACATGACTGAGTATAGATTTTCAATAAAAAATAATAGGATGCCAAAAACAGACCTCTAAGGGTCCAAACAACACTGGCATAAGGCCTAAACATGACATTCAGCCTGATTTATAGAAATTATTTCTCAAACACCTAAGAATCATATGATTTCAACAAAATATTCAACTTTATAGTTGATACGGGACGGACCAAGTCACAATCCCTAACGGTGCACTCCCATACGCCCGTCACCTAGCATGTGCGCCACCTCCAAATAGTAAAATGATACAAAATTCCGGGGTTTCATACCCTCAAGACCAGATTTACAATCGTTACTTACCTCAATCCGAGCAAATCTCTACTCTACAATGCCCTTGCCTCTCGAATTTTCCTCTGAACGTCCCGAATCTAGCCACAAGTAGCACAATACCATTAGTATATGCTAAAGGAATTAATTCCATAAGAAAACTACTAAATTAGACTCAAAACTCGAAATTGGCTCAAACCCGGCCCCCAGGCCCAAGTCTCGGAATCTGACAAAAGTCAAAAAACCCGAAAGCCCATTCACTCACGAGTCCAACCATACAAAATTCATCAAAATCCGACATCATTTGGTCCTTCAAATCCTCAAATTATACTCTCCAAACTCCCAAGCCCTAACCCCTTAAGTCACTTCAAAAATCCCAATAATTAAATGATGAACAAAGCCATAGATTCACGAAATATATACCATTATGGGTTGGAATCACTTACCCCAATGTTGCTCCTTGAAAACCCTCGAAAAATTGCCTCTTTCCCGAGTTTCTCAAGTCCAAAATTGAAAATGAAAGACAAAACCTCGAGGTGGAGCTTTTTTGCCCAGCAATATCGCACCTGCGACCCCTTTATCCCCTTCTGCGATACCGCACCTGCGAAATTTCCATTGCAGGTGCGGAACTGACTTAGGATCCTAGGTTCCGCATCCTCGGCCAACATTTCGTACCTGCACTCGCGCACCTACGCATAACTCTCCGCATCTGTGATGCCAGTCATTTTCCTCCCTTTCGCATCTATGCTCCAGGTCTCGCACCTGCGAGCTCGCAGATGCGATAGCCTTCTCGCACCTAAGGTTCTAGTTCAATTCAACACTGCCCGCATCTGCGACCTCACATACACACCAGCGACCTCGCACCTGTGGCTCCCCCTCTGCAGGTGCGGAAATATGAGTAGCAGCAGCTTCACCTGCATTTTTCCAACTTCAAACAATCCGTTAACCACCCGGAATCACATTGAGGCCCTCGGGATCTCAACCAACCATACCAACAAGTCATATATTAACATCTGAACTTAGTCGAACCTTCAAAACACCCAAAACAACATCAAAACACCAATTTACCCTCAGATTCAAGCCTAAGGACTTCTAAACATCTGAATTCCACCAAACGATTTTGAAACCTACCAAACCACGTCCGAATGACCTCAAATTTTACACACACGTCACAAATGATACCACGAACCTACTCCAACTTCCGGAATTCTATTCCAACCCCGATATCAAATTTTTCACTGCCGACTAAAATCGCCAAATTTCCAACTTTCGCCAATTCAAGCCTAATTCTACTGTGGACCTCCAAATCACATTCCGTACATGCTCCTAACTCTAAATTCACCTAACGGAGCTAATAAAACCATCAAAATTCAAATCCGAGGTCGTTTACACATAAGTCAACGTTCAGTTGAGCTTTCCAACTTCCGCTTCGACTTTAGAGACTAACTGTCTCAATCTACTCCGAAACCACTCCGGATCTGAACCAACTAACCCA